AACCCTGGGCTGTCTGTAAGGCCCCTTGAAAGGAGAGTGGCAGGACTAAGCCAGCTGAATGGCTTTTGTCACACACTATAAGAATCTGAGTGCTTATAAAAGCAAAGAAGGAAATTCCAGGTCTAGGCATGTGATGCGAAAACTTAAAGATGTTAGTTGTTGCAAAAGACAAAGAGATAGGATAATTTCAAAATATAGACATAAAAAGCCTGTCAAAACCAACAATACAAGAATTAAAATTTGCCCTCCCTGAATATGATTGGAACTATGTGTTTCAAGTTGTAGCAAAGATTTCACTCAAGCAACAGTAATTTCAATTTCTCATATTTTCAAAGATTTAGAGTCCTTGTACAAATACTTCTTACAACTGAAATTTTCTTGTGAAATATCAGGTACCCTGACTGCTAGAAAATGAAACTAGAAGCAGACGAAAGCAGGAAAAGCACTGAGTTTTTGTGAGGATAATACAAATGGAGACACACTTTATATTGCTGCACTCTTCAGAAACACACTGAATCAGGATGAACATGGGGCTCTGAAGACATATAAGTGACTGACTAATAGTCACTTTGATACAGAAAACCAAACTTGGTGATAGCATCCTGCGACACTTCCCTGCAAAGTAGGGAAAGAATAAATGCATCTGGTAAAAATAGAAGGCAGATTCATCCGTTTCTAAAATTTGAAGCAACTGGCATAACTTCCCAGGTGTCTACTGCTTGTTTGCTTGCTTTTGTAAAGTCAAGAGGAAGAAAAACTAAATTACAGCAAGAGGATAATGGTACCTGATGGACAGTTGTGCACTTCAGCAGGCATAGTGACAAGAAGAAAATATAACTGCAAATGCTGTATAACCACTGTAAATAATAATTTGTGTGACTTGGCAAAAACTTGTAACAAGACAATAAAGAGCACACAGCCCCACAGAGAAATAAATAACAGGTAACCCTAAAGGAAACAATTCCTTTGTTTTCTCATTTTTAGAAATACCTTAGGTGGAATTTTTGTCCTCATTGTTAAAAGTACTTCAGTGGTGCTTAGATGGTCCACCACAATTCTGAAGCTCCTTTGTTTTCTCTTACAGACATTGTGGATTACAAAAAGGTCAATTTCATTAATACATAACAACACACTTTTCATATAAATGAACAAAAATAAATATCGCAAGATTCAAGAAATGCAACAGTAGAAAAAGAGAGGTATTCCATACATATAGTTATGTAATTTTTGCTTACTTTAAAGTAATATAAATTAGAGAAGTATCAGAGATTGCTTAGAGCCCACATGCCCATTTGCTACTGGTTGACAGTTACTTTTGGACTCATGTTCAGAGTATGCCTCCAGGAGAAAGAAGGAATGGAATTTTACTAAAACCCTTACAGAACACGCCCCATGTCAAAAAGGGTATTTGTGGGCAAGTTGGTGAATGAGCAGTGGGGACAGTAAAACAGAACATGACTATGGAACAGCGAAGTATAAAGCTGAGTCACAGTACAGTTGAATACTGGAGTTCTAATGTGCCTTCCAGCCCACTTCTCCTAGACACTCGTCACCAGCATACCTGGCTTGTCTGTATTCACGGTGATGCAATGTCCATGTGTCACTGAGGACACCACCCAGTCCAAGCTGCGTTTTCCATAAGCTCTGAGCTTTGACAAAGGTCAAAAAGATATGAGGGAAATACTGTGTACATCAACAGACTGTCCTCAGAGCTTGGGAGAGTCCCGCAGCTGGGCTGGGACAGGAAAAGCTGTCAAGAGGAAACCCATGAGACGGAGCTTCTCCTTAGGAAACCCATGAGACTGAGCTTTTCCTTAGGAAACCCATGAGACTGAGCTTCTCCTTAGGCATCTTCCCCTCTCTGCTCTCAGGTGCCTCACACACAGCCAGCCCCAGGTCTGACAGAGCAGCCTGGGCACAGGAGAGGGAGTTAATTTCTCCCATGCCAAAGCTGTGTATACGGGTGCAATGGTGGCTTTTACTTTTGTACATAGCCCCATTTTCAGCTTCTCCCTGACATGCGTTGCATATCCATGCATTTCACAAGGAAGGAGTGCCTGAATCTCCAGCAAGAGGAGCAGGTTCTGCTTCCTCAGTACATCCCACTGGATGTACCCCTTTACTACACAGCTGTCAGAGCTGGAGGGCTTTTTAGCGGTCTCCAAAGAACAGCTTGTGCTAACGTGATCCTTCGCTGCAATGAAGATTTGGGTCACAGGAAGGGACACATTTTTCAGCATGTGTCCCTTTCTTTCAAGGGACACATGCTGAAAAATGTGTCCCTTGAAAGAAAGAAATTTGGTGCACAGTTTACCAGCCTCTCTCCAGCCCTCAATGGAGCTGCACAACACCAAGCCTGCATTGTGTTACACGTGTTAAGAGCAATTTGATGCAGGAACATCCTTCAGTATTTCTTGCTTGACATCTATGTGTCATCATACATATTTTGTAAATTATTAAATATGTATATGTGTAAATGCATACACACAAGTTTACTAGCAATAGCAGAGGCTTGAGCAGACCTGTTTTCTACTAGGCTAGTGTAAATCCCATCCTACCTATGAATTTGTACCATCCCACTCCCTCCTGGCTCAATTTAAGGGAGGGTCAGTACTTGTCACAAGCTTATCAAGCTCCAGGTACCAAAAATACATTTAGAATATGGAAGCAGCCACACAAATCACAAGAGCAAGGACTTATAACCTCAGGTCATAACTGTCTAATGAGTTCAGTAATTGGCACAAAAAACTGACCAAGACAAACCTATCTACAATTCCAAATTACTAGATACATCAAAATACAAAATTTGAAAGGTATCAGCACTGCTTACATCCTCCTGAAACTACCAAAACTGCGTGGCCTGATATTCCTATAATTTTCCACAGGAAAATTTGTCATTTCTCTTTTCTACACAGCATGGACTTTGTATGACTCAGGAGATGAAGAGTGAAGGAAACACCTTCCTCGAGTACACCAGAAAGGAGTGCTTTCCATTATGATACTACAGCTTCTATATACATGCTGCTCAAGGGGCCAGGATGACACAACACTCAAAACTGGTTCCACCCCAGTTACCAGAGTCTCCAGGATGAAACATTTATTCCAGGACTAGAATTGTGGCTAATGTTTGACAATGGGTCACTCCTCCCAAACAGATGGCCAGAGGTGGAAAACATGGGTGGGAATGGAAGGGAAGAGCCTCTTTCAGAGCACCCGAGTGTGCAAGCCAGCCAGTTCTTCCCTGGGGAAAATGCTTGACTCAATCCGAGTGCTGCTTTCCAGATCAGGCTGGATGCCACTTCCCTGCTAAAAACAATGTGCAGCTTAACTCCTCACATAAAAGCTGGCAATAGTTTAAAAACTCCATGCATAAATGAGTACAGTTGAACAGAGGGGTCTGGCTAGACTCCAGGGGCACCGGCAATGTTAGTGAGTGGAGGAAGGAAAAGTGCAGGAGTGCTGTGAACACCTGGCAACCACCTGATGGAAGCATCTGCCTTTGAACCACTTGCTGGGAAATAGGATGGCAGGGTGCTGGACGCAATAAAACTTAAAACTTTTCCTCTTTACTGCAAAGCCACGATTCACTGGCTGCAAAAACAAAAGCCACATTGTAGTCAGATGGAGAAGGGGAGAAAGCCAACTAAGACTTATATTCCAGCTACAGGAAACATTTTCCCAGTGCCTGTTACCAAGCCACTGTAAGTGGGAGACATGGGGATCTTCCAGTCCAACCACTGCCACTGTCCAGGCTGTTCTGCTAGATCTGCACTTCATACCAAGAGCCTGTTCACTTAATTCCCGTTGCATTATGTGCCAGCTTGAGAAGCCACTCAAAAATTTGTCTTAATAAATACCTGAATAAAAGATTTTACAAAGTAAACTAGCGTCATTTCCTCAGAAATCATGAGTCTGCTCAGCACTACAGACACTCCAGTTCCTAGGACTGGTTCTCACAAAAAAATCATCTTCTGATCTTCCTAATATAATAACAAATACATATGATTGGCAGTAGTGACAATCATTTCTTGCCATTCTTTATTCAATAAGTTTAAGTTTATGTGCTATTAAATATTCTCCTATGAAAGTAAAAAAATGTGTGAGTTATCATAAAACATGGCATATGCCATAATTTCAAAATAAAATCTATGGAAAATACTGTCAGGTTGTTGTTCATCTTCATCATATAACTTAACATTTGGTGAAGAGAGCTATTAAATATTAGAGCATTTCTAATTCAGTCTTTCCTGCAGTCTTCCATCATGCAGAGTATGAAATTACAGAATAAATATAAAATCAATCTTTTAATCCCAAAAATAGAGAAGAAATGCATGCCCTGAGGCACAGTCAAACTACCTAACTTCAATAAATAAGTGCTTCTCATCTTGCTGCAACCCAAGAGCTTTCTTGGGTTTGTGGATGTGTATCTTTACTGGTCTAAAATGGCTAATTTTTGTATTAGTTAGTTTCTCTACTGTTTCAATTACAGAACTGTCTCACAACATGTAAAAACTTGGACTATGAATATGTTATTCATATCAGCTGACTCATTACGCATTTTTTTTGTCAGTCCTTGCAAAATAAGTGTTTTCTAGTATGAAGAAAGATCATGTGTTGTAAAAATGATGATCCAGAGCTGAGACACATATCAACCTATGACCTGAGCCCAGATTATGAAATGTGTCAGCCACCTTAGTAAAATATTAACCGATTTTGTGGGTTGTCATAGTAAAATGAGAGGCTGCCCTGAACGTAATTTCATTTACGGACGTTCAGAAAATTGACATCACAGCTGCAAGGACATATAAAGGACCAGCACAGTGCATTTTCAGTTGACTGCAGGAACACTGACAGGAGCATTCTACAGGCTCAATTCCTCTAACAGCACAACAGAAACTGGATTTTGCAAAGTACACCCAGAAGCTTCTTTTTATAAATCAGTTCTGAGAACATCTGAGAGACTTTATCTTCAATTGTGTTTACAATTCCTTTAAAGAAGCATGTGCACGGGAGGCTGTGCCAAGTGCCTGGGAAGTACGCTCATCCCCCTGGCTGTGCTCTGCACCCTTGCTAACATTTTGTTGTTTTTCCCTGGAGGAAAAGTTGAAGAGAGTGCACACATTACAGATGAAGTTTGGTACTTTGGAGGGATCTTGGGATCGGGTGTATTGGTAAGTGTCCAAATTCAGATATTTATATCTTCCCCCCATCCACAGCCATGACTTGCATTGTTGAATTTTCTCAGGACTGCAAAATTCCTCTTGGATAAACAAATAAGTTATAAACCATCCAAAGGTTTGGCAATAAGTAACTTAAACTAATGATAAGGAAAAAAAACCCCAAACCCATAGAATTACCATATTTAAAAGAAGATGTAATTTGAATTCATCCCAGTTCAAACTATATTTCTATTATTCATAGATGATCTTCCCTGCCTTGGTATTTTTGGGCCTTGAGAATAATGATTGCTGTGGATGCTGTGGTAATCGGAGCTGTGGAAAGAGGTTTGCGGTAAGTGAAAGGAAACATGGCAAAAAAAGTAAAAGCTGAATTGTTACTGATATATGCATTTTCCTCTCACAGTCATTGCGAGTCTAGATAGAGGCTATCTTGAGTGTGGGACAAAAAGCCCTGCCATTTGTTTGAGTGTTGGGAAGTAGAAATAGCAGGCTGTAAAAATTGTATAAAATTGTATTATGCCTCTGATGTTTTTACCTCCGGTACTAGAACAGTATAGCCTCATTGTTTTTTGCTATCAGGATATCAAGATACTTATAGTTACTATCACAATTAAAATTTATTGCTGAAAGATCTACATTTTGTTTTGCAGAGTACAACAGTCCTCTCCTTAACCATTTTTTGTTGGCAACTTTTAAAATCACTCTGGCAGTTAGGCACTACATTCCCAACTCACTGCAGGCCAACAAAATGAGATGTGTTTTTTTCTTCACCTGTATCACTTTATTCCTACAAAATACATAACCTTAACCTACGAATTGTTATGGCTACAAGTATTTCAGAATTCAAGCAGGGCATTAGTTCTTGCATGATTTTACTTACCTATTCGTATATATGGGAAATTCTGTAACAGAAACCAGAAAAATAAAGACATACTTTCCCACCCATTCCAATTGTAATACTAGAGCTTACACCTGTGAGGAGGTAAAGTATACTAATATGAAACCTAAAGGGAGACATGGGAAGGAAAACTGTAATTATTTGGTCCAAATATAACCAAGATACCAAAGCTAACTTGTAAAGGATACTGAAGATGTTTTTAGTGCCTTGAGTGGTCCAAGGCTTCAGTCTTGCTTGCAGTGCCCTGAGATGAACGCCTGGCACAGGAGGCCCCGGAGGGGAGCAGTGCCATCTGCTGCCAGGCCCTGCCTGCTCCTCCTCAGGCACACAGGGCCAATGCTGCTCAAGCTCTAAAATACCAATACACCTCTTCTATGCAATGAAAAGTAATAGGCTTCAGCTGTTCAGGTGTTGACTATTTGACTATTAACAGCTGAATTTAGGGAACATTTCAGGGAACAGCTGAATTTAGGGAACCAAAATAACATTATTTTTCTCTTCATCAGATGTTTTCTTCTATAATATTTGCTGCCGTTGGAGTTGTGGGAGCTGGATACTGCTTTATTTTGTCAGCAGTAGCCCTAAACAAAGGCCCTAAATGTCAAAGTCAAGGAGGCTGGACCTACCCTTTTGAGGCTGGGTAAGACAAGGCAATCAGAAAAAAAGATATACATGTTTTAAGTTTGTGAGATGATTCAAATTCCAAATCCATTGTATAAAAGTGAGAATGATATTGCTTGTCTAAATTATACAAGCTCTTACAAGTGTTTGCAGCACACAGCAAGACTTCATAAGGTTCAAGAGCATGGATTTAAAAAAAAGCAAGTACAATGAAAACTACTGAGTTTCAAAGGGGCCTATAAAGAGAAAGGTTATTCTTGGGATGATAAGCAATATATGGGGATAAATTCCACTTTGATGAATAGCAATGACACATTGAGACATCTCTCAGAGTCTTGAAGGAATTGGCTGATGTAATTGCTAAGCCACTCTCCATATTTGAAAAGTCCCGGCAGCCAGGTGGAGCCCCAGGTGTCTGGAAAAGAGGAAACAATGCACCCATTCTTTAAAAAGGGTAGGAAGGAGGAGCCTGGGAACCACCAACCTGCCAGTCTCCCCTCTGTGCCTGGGAAGATCATGGATCAGCTCCTCCCAGCAGGTCTGATGATGCACATGGAGGACAGGGAAGGGATTTGTGTCCAGCAGAATGTCTGCACCAAAGGCAAGCCCTGCCTGACCAACCCAGGGGCCTTCTATGGTGGGGTGACTCCATCAGTGGATAATGGAAGAACAGCAGAAGTCATTTATCTGGACACAATCCCCCACAATATCCTGCTCCCTAAATTGGAGAGAGCTGGATTTGATGGGTGAACTGCTAGATGCAGAGAAAGTGTCTGGATGGTTGCATCCGGAGCGTGGTGGTCAGTGGCTCAGGATCCTTGGACAGCAGTGACAGGAGGTGTCCCTAAGGGACTGGTGTTATTTCATATTTTCACTAATGACACAGATGAAGGAGGCTACCAATGATGATCAGAGGGATGGAACACCTCTTCTATGAAGAAAGGCTGTGAGAGTTGGGTTTCTTCAGCCTGGAGAAGAGAAGCTTCAGGGGGATTGTGGCTTTCCAGTACCTGATGGGAGCCTACAAGAAAGATGGAGAGGGACTTTTTATAAGAGCACGTAATGACAGGACAAGATAATGGCTTTAAACTAAGAGCAGGTTTAGATCAATTATTAGGAAAAAATTCTTTCCTATGAGGGTGGTGAGGCACTGGCACAGGCTGCCCAGAGAAGCTGTGGATGGCCCATCCCTGGCAGTGTTTGAGGCCAGGTCGGGCAGGGTGTGGAACAACCTAGGACAGTGGAGGGGGTCCCTGACCTTGGCAGGGGGATCAGAATGAGATGATCTTTCAGACCCCTTCCAACCCAAACCATTCTGTGAGTGTACGATTATATTGAAATTTAATGGCATTCAAATTATAATATAATATAATATAATATAATATAATATAATATAATTTTGTAAATATAATCTATGTATAATTTTATTTTGGCTATGGCATTTCGAAGCTGCTTGCTCCTCATGCTCTGCAACTCAAAGATGTTCACTTTCATGTATATTTATCACTTAAACCCAGCTATCCCACTGCTCAGACTGAAGTCAAGACAAGTTCAACAAACAACAGGGCACAATGTGCTGCTGAAGAGAGCAGGTGTGATCAGAACAGAATGGCAAGGGCTGCAGTAAACTCTCCATTACCTCAGAGCCTTCAATGCAGTCTGCCTCAGTCAAGAGTGACCTGGCAGCATTTCTTACATAATATACAAAAAAAATTACCTGAAAAAAAAAAAAACAAAAAGAAAAAAAAGAAAAAAAAAAAAAGAAAATGAGAAGTGCACAGGTAGAGGATTATTTCTTCATGGGCCACTGAGGGCCAGAAACCAACTCCCTTGGTCTCATTCTGAGTCTTTGGAAATATGCTCTGTTTCAAACATTGTTTTGATTGCAGTCCAGAAATCACTTGACAAAAACACAAGTCAGCACTAAGAATATGCAGATGAAATATAGCCAGTGGTTAAGCAGTTTACAATTAAATCAAAATGTGAAAGTAAAAATTATGGAAGTTATTACCTTTACTTTAGATAAGGCATCTAGAACAGCAAAAGCTGTTATTTTCAGCTCAGTGGACAAGAGGTGACATGTATAATTTCATGATTTGTTTTGATTAGAAGGTACTCCCTTGTTCTCAACTCTACTTTGAGATACTGGATTACCTGCCCTGATCACAGTCTCCCACCCACCCCCATAAACAAAAAAATGCTGTAATCAAGTAAAAGCAAAAATGCCCCTGACAAAACACTGTAACAGACAAAACCCATTTGGCACATGCTTGGCTAAGATCTTTTCTTTCCAAAACACTAAAAACAGTTCAATTGTATCAAACACATACTTGTCTCCAATTGCTCCCTTCTGATGTCTTGTTTTTTCCAAATCACTTGCTTCAGCTTATCTAGAAACTAAGCTGAAGTCAATTTCCAGACAAGCAGCACCAGTGTGGCAATGGAAATTCACCGGCGTGAGCAGAACCATGTCGCAGCAGCGACAGCCTCTCGGTGCTGAGAGACCCCTTCATGAGTTAATAGGTCTTCTTCCCAACTGTTTTGTTCTCATGTAGGGATTACCTTGGTGACCACGGGTTGTGGACAAAGTGTACATCACCTGATAACATCGTCCCGTGGCACCTGACCCTCTTCTCCTTGCTGCTGGTGATGAGCGGGGTCCAGGCAGTGCTCTGCGGCATTCAGGTGGTGAACGGCATCTTTGGAACCATCTGTGGGGACTGCAAATGCTGCGGATGCTGTGGGGTGAGCGACTGACGGCTCTCCTTTGTTATTCTGTGCACTGATGAGTTACACACACACCTCTGGCTCACAGTCAGAAAAACTAAACTGCCCTTCCTCCAGCTCCGTGGTCATGGTTTCTAACATACTGCCAAAACCACGCATTGCTGCCGTTAGGAAATAATAAAAGCCTTTGAGAGTCACACCAATAGCAGCCAGGAAATTACCTCCATGTTTTTATTCTTCCAGGGAGAAGGAACTGTCTAATGAACAGGAATATTGCAGACAACTCTCCTCATCCTGAGAGAACCCCTTCTGCAGCTACTCCACAAAGCAGCCCTCAGATGCACTGGCTCTGGCTAAGACGAGAATGAAGGGCTCCTCCTCCCACCAGTGTTATGAAGCCCTGACTCCCTTTCCAGCCTTCCTGAAATCTCTCATCATGGAATAAAATAAGTGAAATACAACTCTCACATTCATATTTATTTTTGTAAAAGAGCTTCCATTTAAAAAGAGGGTATTCTCAGGCAAAATACAAATTTGTGTTACTATTTCTATTCAGGTCAGTTAAGTAGCTTGTAAATCCCCAACGTTTCCAATCTACACATGAGCACAAATGCTGTTTATTAATCTTTTTGCACAAGTTCAATTTAGCTGTATTTGGCACAATACTATGAAAGAGAGAGGAAAGACAATGACAGCTAGCTCAAAGGCAAAAATAACTTTTAGAAAGAACTTTTAAAACTTTAAAAGAAAAAGCTACTTCCTGAAGGAATCAAGGAGAAGATAGGAGGGATTGGAGACATCTGAGGGATTCAAATAAACTACTAAGCTTCTGTTAAAAATTCTGAAACAAATTTTCACATACCAGCTTGCCAGGTTGGATGTCTCAATGCTTCTCAATATTGGCCAAATCTGTTCTGAAAATTTTCCTTCTGAAATAATGATTCTGTGGCCTGTGCTTTCAGAAAATGTATGTCATGAACTGTGTATTTACACTAGGAGATATCTGAAGAATCTAGAAGTACTTGAAAGCACTGGAAGCTGTTGAGCAATATGCAGAAATGTTAAAAAGTTTGATATAGGTGAGAATTATGCTGTACAAGATGATAAATTACAAAAATTACAAAAAAAAAACCTCTTCAGAAACAGCTCTCTTTATTTCAACACAAACACACACTGTGCAACTATCTCACATCTATTCTTTCATCTGTGGTGAGCAGCTGTCCTGCACCTCATCTCACATTTGCCCTGTTTGATTTTTATGAAGCCTTTGAGAACAAGGAATGTTTCTCATCAGTGTTCAACAAGAGGATGGGTAGCTGCACTGAGTACAGCTTTGATATATCAATAAGCAGAGTACATAAATTTTTGTGGGAGATGGGATAAGAAATAACAGGCAGCAAGCTATGATACCTAAAACCATAATCAATGAGCTACAGCTTCTTAGAGGCACCCAGCTTCTAATGGCTCTGATGGCTTTCTAATATGAGCCAACACAGAACTGATACACAAGGCACACACACTTCAACTTGTGATCCAGACTGCATTCACACCTTGGCCTTCAGGTGTACTGCAAAAGGGTAAACGAGCCAGAATCAGCAGCCCAGCTGAACCCACACTTTGGAGTACCACAATCATATTCCAAAATCTATTCAGTTAAACTAACACCTGAGGCTCTCCCTTAGCACTTAATTTCAAGCAAATCACACATCTGCAGTATCAATTCTGCAGTAACTGGAGATTGTTCTGTGTTTTTACTCAGCAAAGCATCCAGTAAAATGAAGGAGAGGGATTAATCCTAGAACCTCATAACAGAGAATTATGTAAAAAGCCAGTGTTAACTATTGAAAAGAAGGCACAGATAAAGAGAGTGCAGCACTAGGAAGGGACAGAAAGATGGTGGTAAGAAAGAAGGCACAAACAAGGATAACTGAAAGGAACCCTGACCAACTTAAAGACCGTGCTCGAACTGTATATCTTGAAACTTGATATCATGTGCCGGCAGGCAGCACGGCTGGGAGGAGAAAGGGGGGGGCAGCGGGCAGTCCGGCCGCCTGGGAGAACTTTTAACCCTTTGGGGAATGAAGGCTTCGCAGAACATTCCCTTTCCTGGGAAAGGGATAGGAGTGGAAGATGAAGGAAGAAAATCAGGCCAGTAAGGAGGGTCTGGCAAAGGGAGAAGAGAGATGTTGAAGGAATGGAGGAAGATGGAGTGGCAGTTTTTGCTGGACTCTTTTTTGTTGTATTTCCATGGACTGTTTCCTGGTGAGGCAGAGGCTGCATTGCAGGGGGAAGCGGAGGCTCGGCGTCAAGAGAGTTTGGTTTTGAGACCCCTCGGCCCCAGGGGGTATAGAAGACATGGGGGGGACAGAGGTCCCAGGATTGTGACTGTACTCTGCTTGGAACGAGACGAGGCATTCTTAAAAGGCCCTGAAGGCAGGCCCCTGCCCCATCCCATGCCTGGTGGTGAGAGCACCTTGGCATGGAAAGGAGATGTCACGGGATAGCAAGATACCGGGCGGATTGCTGATTGTGACAAGAAGTCCATGGCACAAGGAAGGACTCCGTCTATCCCTTATGAGCTGAAGATTTGATTTTTTTTTCCAAAGGGTGGTGCCAGACCGAGTGTGGATAATTTTTGGGAAATGTAAATGTGTTTGGGAATTTGGTGGGAGGAGGATAAGGAAGTGTTTCTGTGTAGTTCTCATTCTCCTTGTTTTTTTTCCCCTGTGTGTGTGTAGGTTAGTAATTGTGTGTGTAGTTTAGTAATTGTGTGTGTAGTTTAGTTAATAAACTTCTCTTTATGTTTAAGTTGGAGCCTGCTTTGCTTATTTCCTGGCCACATCTCACAGCAGATATCAGGTAAAAGGTATATTTATGGGGGCCTTGGCTTTGCCAGGCCTAAACTATAACAAGACCACACTGTGTAGAATTATGAACATACAGTGATACAGAAGTAAAAATAATAGTAGTCAAAAGAAAGAATATTAGTATGCTTTGTAAAAATCTCAGAAATACCCATGCTGGCTGAAGATTCATTATTCACCCATTAAAACTGTCTGCTGGGTGAACAGGCTGCTGAGAGCATGGCAACTTCAACACTGCATGGCACTGTTTTAGCTGAGAGCTATCATAAAAGGATACACATTGGTTATCTAACAACCCGGATTACAACATGCGGAGCATGAGCATGTGATTTTGAGCCCCTGCATTTCAGTGGGACAAAATTAAGGTTACGCCCCTGCACAGCTGAACTATACACAGTTAGTCTTTTTTGACTGTCTTCAATAAACAGACTGCAAAAAATGATACATTAACCACAGGACAGGGTCATCTTTCAGGGAATGATGCATTAACTGGAGACTCTTTGCAAAAGGTTCATCTCTAAAGCAGGGAAGTAACATACACAATGTTGAAAAAATAGTTGCTCAGCCCAGAACAAGGGATGTTTTCTCACATCATTCCAGTCTTGAATGTTCATCACCTGTCTCCAGTTCAACTTTAACTCCCTCCTCATGGATTGTACATCACTCATAGTATAACCAGTTGCAAGGCAAACAACGTAAAACCCTGGAGACATTCCAGCTGTCAGAGGTTGGGAAGGCTGGCTTCTTCCATTATCCTGACACAGGTGGGGTCTTTGCCCCCATATTTTAATTAAAATGTATATTGAATATATATATTGAATATGTATATACATATATGAATAATTGACTATACAATAGAAAATTGAACATTTTAATTCAAAATGCATGCCTTTTTCACAGAATAGTATGTCCACACCTTTATTCTAAGCAGTGTTCTACAGTTCCCTGGAAGCCTATACTAAAACCCTCAAACCCACCCCTTCCCTAAAGAAATTATTTTAAAAAAACAATATGCATCCAAAATCTTTTAAGTTCATTTGTATTTTTTCATGTAAAAGATCAAAGGAATAATTTAAAAAAAAAAAAACAAAACAGAATCAAACACAGGATACAACAGTTTGATCTGATTGCCTCTAGTACAATCTATTGCAAGGTACTAAAAATTAAAAATAAATGCTCACACAAGTCATATAAAAATGAAAAAAGTAAATAAAATAGTTAAAGAACTAGCATATACATGGATGTATGTATTAGGAAACAAGTTTATTTGGACAACCATCCACATTTTTCCGTAATTAAAACAGAGATTTAAATCCTTCCTTTCCCCCTAACAGTATTTGTTGACAAAAAGTCAAACCCAATCCCTCCCCAAGTTACATTCTAACAGTATTACCAGAATACAAACTGTAATTAACCATGTCCCATTACTTCTGTATCACCAAGACTTACATATGACCCCTCAGGGATGGTCACAGCAAAACTGTCCAGCTGGCACATTGGTTGTATTTATACTACAAGCAGACAGTGTACAATTTAGTACAGTAAATACTCAAAACCTGAAATAGTACAGTGAAATATTGTCAACAATAAATTTACTTTCATATTACATATGCTTTGAATACTGAAAAATTCTGCCATAAGCCTGTTTAAAGCCAGAAACTTTTTTAAAGATAACTTTGAAGAATAGGTTTTATCGTCATTGCACTTCATTGGATACATTATCTCCGTAACAAAAATTAAAACATGACAGTGTAAAGAATCACTTTTAATGTAACCAAGATTTGTTTCATGACTGAGTAAAGATCTAACCTAAGGTTCTGGCAGCTCTTTCAGCCTGAAGTGCTGCTCCACTCAGTACCTTCCTGTTCCAGATCCACGGCTGGTTTACTATGGAAGTGACACAGAAACAGAGTTCATGATTGCTTTATCCTTTTAAGGGATTGCACCAAGACACTCAACCACCAGAAATACAAATAAAAAAGGAATCAAGCTTGCAGCTTCACCGTTATGATAAACGCCTGATGTAATTTCACTAGAAAGCTGCATTAGTTTTCCCCACAGACAGAACAGCCTTTGGCTGACAACAATGCATGTGGCTGGGCAGGAATCAGCACCAGCTACCCCACAGAGCTGCCAGCCAGCCTGCTCAGAACATCTTCTCTTATGAGAAGCTCACATGTCAAATGGTGCAGATTTGCCAGCAAATGAACAAACTGCATTCTCTGAAGGTGACCTGTGGATGGGCTCTGCCACCTGGAGCGCACAGCGCGCAGGTCCAAGCTGCTGTGGGTCACTCCAGCTCCTTATGCCAAAAGAGCAGTGCTGGTGACATGGCTTTCAAAGCTGGCCAGAAAATATCCAATTCTTCACAAACATCAGTCATGGCACTAAATAACAAAGCCTTAGGACCACCTGCTTTTCATTTGGGCTGACAACCTGAAGAAATCCTTAAAAGAGAGAGATTAAAACTAATTACAGTAATATTGGTCAGCCCTGCCCGGTCCCTGTTTATTGAAAAGAAGTTTATGGTATCTCAACAGTTAGCAAAACTATCAAGAATAAAAAAAGAAAAACCCAACTAATAACCCCCAAAAGAATAAAAGAAACACAATGCCCATTCAGCAATTAATTTCTGTGCAGACACAACTCTGCTGTTACACTTCTTTTTCTGTTAAAAAAAACCAAAATGAGAACATTTTTAAAAAGCTACCTTTTACTATGTCATAAAACTTCACAACTGTAGGTCTTTGCCTAATATCTTTTTTTTCAAAATTTTAGCGTGTGTGTTTTTTATTTTCCTTCCTGTGACACCATGTACACTTAGAAGTTCATCAGAGACATGGTCATTTACTTTATTGAGTGCTTCTCTTATGTTTTTCACTGAACACCGGAGATTTATTTGCTATGCACCCCTGTCTGCAGCCATCCTTCCCAGCAGGGATCTACATTTATTAACTCATCATTCATCTTCCAAATCTACTCTGTATTCCCACCACTTCATCGCTGACCTTTTCACCTACCTTCACCCAACCAGATGGAAAAAAGGTCTTTAAGGGTCAATATTCTGATGCATCAGTAATATCTTGCTAAGTGTTATCAGACCTGGCAAACACACATTTACGCTTAGTGCTACATCTCTTCTTCTCTTTACATAGCCTGGATTAAGCTTAGAGAAAAGTTATAATGCCTTTCATAAAATTACCTATTCTTCAATACAAAATGCTTCTATCCATTAATTATAAATAAGATCATTTCAAAACATTTAAGAATATTCAGGACTTCATTTGCATTTCAGGAGAACTGCATACTTAATGCTCTTGATGTCTTCTCAGTCCCAAACCTCTGCTAAAGAAGAAGTTTTGTAGGATATATAGCAGGCAAAACCACACAGCACACGCCTTCTGTCCTGCGCACCAGTTATGGTAAATGAAAGACATAAAAAGCTAAGCAGCTTGACCAGGTGAGTCCCAATGCTGCTTTAGCAGTGCCCTGATAAAGTTCCTGGTTCTTTTTCATGTATAGAACTACATGTATTTTTACATTGTCAGTTATAAACATCACTGAAAACAGTATGAGGAAGGTTTTTCTCCCCCTATGTATGACATTAACAAGTTGTGCCACATTTTCCAGAACTGATTTTAAAAGAATAGTTTTGCACTTAAGATACTTGCCACAGATTTTATATATATAAAAAATTGCTTGTTCATGTGTTAAGTTACAAAACTGTAGTGCTTAATATAATAAACTAAAAAAACTAATAATTTTTTTAAAAATGCTTGTTTATAATACATTTCTTTGTTTTTAAAAGGCAACAGTCAGTACCAGCCTGGTTTATTTTGTAACAATATTGTAGTGTAAAAATGTTGCTAAATAATTCTGGTACATTGAGACTAGAAGTAATTATTTTCTGAAAACTATACAGTAATTTACTGAAAAAAAGAAACTGCTATAGTAGTGTTTGTGCCTTCACAAATATATAATGGGAATTATTATGGTTGATTGGATCATATTTGAACTGTATTCTATACAGTACAGTTAGTCACTAAGAACTAAAAAAGCTTTTTAAGGCTTAAGTAATTTGGTTTTAAAAAAGCTTCTGATAGTATTGTCATAAACATAATAATAAAACTGCTCTCATGCCCTGATCCGTTGCACTTTTTTTGAACCAGGCAAGCTAGGAGTTAGCTTTTCTGACTCACAAAGGCTCTGTGATGTCAGTCAGTACCCAGGAGAGCAGTCAGGGATGTGTACAAACATCAGCCACTTTCTGTCCTAAAAGTGAAGCGTTTCCACCTGGTTTGAAAACGTAAAAAAGTACACAGATGTGTAAAGTGGTATGGGGCTTTTTTAAAGAAATATATATCCATGTATGTATTTTTTATATATATATAAATGTATTTCATACTTAAATTAGTATCAATCAAATTCAGGCAGATATTAAACTGACCATAAAGACGATGTAGCAAAAGTCAATACGGCAGTATGTTGTATCTCTTGAGGACATTCAGATATTCTACCCCAAGAGGAAAAAGAAATCTGAATTGCACTGCAGGCCCAACAAGCATTGCCTGATTACAGCCAGGTGAGGAAGGGCTCGTTCTTGTTCAGCACTGACTCCACGTCGTTGAGAATCGGGATCAAGTCTTCTGACTCTAGAGTCCCAAGATCCACGTTTGTCCCTGGAAGGCAGTCGAGGAAATCGGGGAAACGTGTTTGCTGTGGATTTATGTTCATTGCTGTCTGTGCTAGAGTTTCTCCTAGGAAAAGTAAAGAAGAACTTTTGAAGTACCAAAGTCTTATTGTGAGTAATTTAAAACAACAGAACTACATAAAAATGTATTCCCCCTTTCCCACAAGCACTCGGGAGCACTCCTACTCCACACAAATGTTATCTCAAAACTGCATTTAGGTATAGGGTACATATCCCCCTACGAATACATTTCACACCCTTGCTCTGATCTCAGAAGCACAAAAGGTCCTTTCCAGCAGTGCTCAAAGCATCCAGCTCTGCTCTGCCGCTTGGGAAGCACGACAGCTTCAAGTTTGAAGCAGCAAAGGGCCCTCATGCACACCTCCATCCTGCTCCCTGCACCAGGGGCAACACTGTCCCTAGGAAATAACTGAAAAAAGTGCTTTACAGCAATTTAGATCTGTAATATTATACTTTTTTTCCCCATAAATTAATAAGAACAAGCATGAAAACCTTTAACAGATAAATCTTTCATTCTCTGCATAATACTGTACTTCTAATGACTTCAAAAGGAAGTTTAGGTGAGGAAGTGCTGAGAATTTCACTCTCTGAAAAAACCCTTGATTTCCTAGTAAATTATTTCAGTATTTTAAACACCATGGACACTAACATAAAATAAATATGTATCAAAATGTAAGCTAGCTAAATACATTCTGTTTGAAGGCAAATGCAACTTTGCCAATGTAAGTGACTTACAAGCAAGACTGATTTCCCAGAGTTAGAAAATGTATTGATTTCTACATGTAACCCATAACAAGCTTTTTTGTCCCCCTACCATGGACAATAGTATGAAAACAGAAATTAAGGCTTGCATTTTCCAGGTTTTATTTACTCTGTTTAATATCAGTCTGAGCTAAAAGAGCAGAATCTGGATCTAAGTTAAAGCTGAGAACCTTCTGGGCACTAACCACCTTCAAGGCATTTTCTCCCGCAATGTCAGTCTGTTCTCTTGATTAGGAAAGCTGCAGATTATTGTTCAGTCATGCAATCATAAAACATTACTAGCCATAATACATGGATTATACTTTAAGCTAAATCTGAGTATTCTACCTGTATCCATCTCATCTACGTTGCTGAGGAAATCTTCAGGTGTTGTTGGTATACTGTAGCATCCTAATCCCAAGCCACTGTCTGTACTCTGTTCCCTGGAGTGGTATGGCCCACTACAAATTGAAACAGGAAAAACACTCAGCAAAGATCCTCTGACAGACACAGTTCCTGAGCACAGTGTCAGAACACAGAAATAGATACTGAGTCATTAAGCTTCATCCTGTAACTGTTGGCCACTGATCAGCCAACATAATATTTGCATCACATCAGCCCAAATAACAAAGTAATTTAGGCGAGGTCACTCTTAAATTTTGAAATACACACATGCATATATAACTCTCTAGCTGAAATCAGTTCTGACAGCCTAAAAAGTTGCATGTATTTACACGTAGGTAACACACCTATTCTACCTAGTCTTCTACATACACTAACAATAGAATTAAAACCACCTCTTACAATTTATTGCTTTTTAAAAAGATTCCTTCTTGAAGCATAAACTGAAAGATTTTGGGCCAGCCACTCAGCCATCCCCTCTGTTTACAGTAAGTAAAAAAAGAAGATGATATAGGGATTATCTTAGAGAGACACCTGTAACAGCCTAGAGAAGGCAACAGAAGCAATTGCCTAATGAAGAAGAATGAACTTGCCTGTTCAAGAAAGGATCTGACCCATTATTTGTGACAGCCCTCATGTCCTGTGTCATGGCAGGGGTGTTCACAGCTGTCTGAACTGGGACCATGTTTTCTGGGTCCATAGGAAGTTGTCTGCAAAGAGCAGCCTCCTGAAAAGACAAATAAACACCAGGGAGGGGTTATTCCAACACTCAGAAATACTCTAGTCTTGTAACAACATATAATGAACACATAACATATACACTGAAGGAAAGTAATTCTGAGTGAGGTCACTATGAGCATTTGTTTACTCTGATACGAAGAAAACCATGACCGTGTCTTAAAGCACCACAGAATTTAGCTGTCAGTTCTACCATGTCTGGAAGCCAGGCCTGTAATTCATTCAGCTACCACAAAGTACTTAACATGTTACAAGAAAACCACTGGAACCAAGACTGTGATTCAATAATCTTTAGAATGAACACTCTGCCGGATAAAAAGCATTTGCTTAATGACCTGTCTCATGTCTATTATCTGCAGGATGACAAACAAGCAATCAGAGCCAAAGGAAACTTATTTTGCAACTCTTCCCGAAAGATAAATTCTTCCAGCATTATCTCTGTGAAACACATATGACATCTAGTGGTACAGAGTTCTATACAGAGGTTGTCTGACCCCAACTGGATGTTCCAAACAAAAATCCTAAGACCTTAAAATAATAAAGCTATATCTATTTTTACCATAATTAACTCCACTTACTTTTTTTTAATGAAACAAGCAAAGTAAATATTTAATTTAAATCCTAGTAGAAAACTTCTCTGACTCAATCATTCGTTCTCCCCAGCACAGAAAGGATTAACAGGTCTTCAAGGCTAGAATATGATGTTTTACTATGTTTTCAATTATTTGTTTCATTGAGGAGGAATGGTCTGGTCTCTTTGTGAATAAAGTAGCACATATTGGTGCCCATAAAAGAAATATTTCCTTTATAACAAAATTATCAATATATTCATTGATAAATTACAATTTACTTTAGATGGTGTCAGTATTTAGCAAGTGTTAAGAACAAACATTCTTAAGAATCTTAATAGCTTATGTATACTAAGTTTTTGATTAAATTTGTCAAGTGACAACTTTAATGGTGACATTTCTACTTAGAATTTAATCAGCTGGAGTCTGTGAAAATGTACAAACCTCTTAGAAGGAGAAGGTCGTTTTCTTAGCTGTCTACAGGCAGATATTTTCAGAACTTTTTAAAAAATATAAGAATGACATCTACAGCCACACGAGATTTAGTCAGGCCATCCAAAACAAAACATCTGTCAGCTGAAAAGCCTGCAGCACCATAAAGAAAAACTCCCACTATCAGTTACATAATCTAACTTCCTGTCTCCTCTTTGTTGCAAAAAACACCATATTTATTATAGAGCTACTTGACTGACTCTCCCTTGGGGAATGGCTCACCTCCCATGTCTTTATTTCAACATATTGCCTGTTGCTTGTAATATTAACTCCATGTGTACTTTTAAAATGTGGAAGAACAGACTCTTGCACACGGGAGTCAGATTTGGCTGGGGAAGCAGACAGAGCACTGGCTCCACCATACATGACATACGTTCTTCAGCTGTAGGTCATTTGTTCAGAAGTCCCATTGCAAGTTTATTACTACTACAGATATCAGATTCCTTTGCTCCTTTGACATTATTACAGCAATGGTAATGGAGAAATGGATCAACCACACAATACCCAAAGCTTTATGATACCCTACTATGTCCTGTTCTCTATTCTAAGCATGACTACAAGGTTTTTAAGAAGAATATTTGTTAATCTTCTACCCTAGGATGAAAGTCTGGCAAAAAATGGCAGAGCTGTCTCGCAGCCCTGTGAGCAGCAATATCAGTCTCAGCCACACCAGCGAGCTCCCGGTCTCTGAGTGTAGGAGGGTGCCTCCTCCTTGGCCAGCAGAGACCATCTCTGGCATTCAGCTCACAGAGGACCAAGTGCCTTTAGATCTGCTTGGCACTGTGATGCACATAAACCCAAAGAAGACTTTCAAAATAAGTAACAAAATAAACTAAAAAACCCCACAGAATTCTAATATCAAAAAGTCATGTCAAATGCTTCATGAGTGGTTATCTTCCAAACCTTTTAAAGCTTCACAGCATTACAGTGAGTTCAATGATTCACTGCCTCAGAAAACGTAAACCCTTTTTTAGCTGTATGCCTCACAAGCACAGAAATTTCTTGTCAAATTTCCTAGAACTCTTCTTGGCAGAACTGACCTGACTTCCACCCTTAGTTGCCAAACTCTCATTTCCAGCTGGGGGAGATGAGTGAGAGCATTTTTACAGTGGGTTTACATTGCTGGTAGATGCAGTTCCTCTTCTGCCAGTCCTCAGGGTGGAAAGCAAGAGATGTAGACATTGCCTGTGCCCCCAGAAAATCACACCCTCAGCCAGTCTGTGCAGTGGGAGGAGCACAGCACAGGAGCACAGGGGCATTTTTCTCTTCAGGTTGTAGCAGGCCAGTAAAGGTCTATTCTGCGAGGACAAAACAGTGATAAATGTTCCTCTACATGTTGCTCCACTGCTTCTTCAGCCTCTTCTAAGCCTCTGTAACATTCTGTGGACAATTTCTGCAATAGGAGCCCTGGACCAGAAAGAAGCCTCTGAGAAGTATTGCCTTTTTGGGACTATTTGTACCCTCCAAATGTATGCACAAGTACAGTGCATAATGGCCCTGGTGCACACAGAGAAGTGCTGGGGCACCTTCTCTGCAGGACCTTTCAGAGATTTCTGACTGACATTACCTCTACCAACTTCCATTTCCAAGAAGATCTTTAGTAGCAAGCAGATTCTCTCTTTTCCTTTGGAAAGCTGGCAAACCCACATTAGTGTAAAAGAACGTTAACTCCTTATAGAATGATAAAACTGAGTAAGGAAACCTTTAAGTAGATGCCATCATACTGGTTTTCTGAAATGCTGCCCTTTTGGAATGCACTCAATCTAGAATTCTAGGGTTTTAGCAACTCCATGAAGAGGAGGACAAAGAAGGAAAGAAATTCCCTAAGCCCAGAGCTTGCAGAGCCACGGCCCCTTCCAGGCTGGGCATGCTGCTCCACCCCAGCAGCTGCTGCAGGAACGGCTGCGGGGAGCAGCAGCTGCTGCTGGGCTCAAAGGTTTGTGACCCTCCAAAGAATCCTGTCCCTCGCCCAAACGCTCTGCAGCTCCTCACAGCTGCTGGCAGCAGCATACACCCTTACTCAGCATTTTCCCCTTAGGTTACACTAGAAAAGCAAAAACAGCAAGGGAGGGTCAGGACAGGAGTAACTGTACTTGGACACTGATGATCCAAGAGGATAATTGCACCCTAGTTGCCAGGATTCAGGATTCTGAGGTTACTGGAAGGAAGTTCACAACACTGTTAGGAAGAAGAGATTTTGCATCTTGCTTTCCTCTCTAAGAGTTACACCAGTTGTAAAACTTCAGTAATGCGAAGTGACGGTGTGCTGCTTCATGCGATGTGGAGCTTCAACAAACACTACATGGGCAGGGTGGTACCGGACTCAGTAAGTGGAAGTCTTGACTGAGTATGGCACAGCTGCAGAGTGCTGCGAATGTATTGGTTTCAAAGCCAGCAAAGCAGCAAAACCCTCCCTTGTGTTAATGGCACAACTGTTTTGAAGCCTAATTTGCTCACCTTGAAAAAAGAATAGAGCCAAAGAGAGTAAAAATAACTAAACATGTTGTTAGCATGATGACAATCATGACTAAGCTCGTACCAAATACCCTCACTCTCTTCTCACATCCATCTCTGTCATGAGCTCTTCATGGGAAAGGAGAAGCCACACAGAAGACTTGAGAGCACTGCCCGTGTCAGAGACTGCCACCTTAATCTTGTGAAAGTTGCTGCTTTGAAAGGTACTTAGAACTGGTAACTGCAGCATTTGCAAGGCCACAAATAACGATATGTTTCTTGATAAAGTATACTTCTTTCATGCTGTTTCTGAGAGAAACGGATTATCTATTTTTTCCATTAAGGAATCTGATTATTATGCCATGCAAACACAACACCACTAGTGGACTTGACTGTAACAGGTGAAACACAATTCTTAAAACTTTGTTTTCTTAAGGCAGTATAAAGGAAATTACATATCTATTTTGTACAGAATGAGTCATTTTATAGAGCTGAAACTTAAGATATAGAACAATAAGCAAAATATCCACAAATAACCAACTCTGAAAAGTCTTTAGATCAGAGGCGTTCATGTAAGATGTGAATGTGATTTTATTTGAACTAAAAGGCAAAGGGTGCAAATTAAGAGAGTACAGACTGGAGTCAAGAACAATTCCATTTGTTCTTCCTTTATCTTCAATGAAGTATGAGCATGGTCTCCTGCGCAAACCAAGTTAAACTGCACATGAATCAGTGTTGCCCTAGTTGCTTATGGACAGACACAGAACAGAATTTGGCCCTTACATGACTATTAAGAAAGACTGGTAAGAAAGAAGGCAGGTCAGTAACTTCTGATGGATGGCCATCCTGAGTTCTGTTCTGTGCTAGTTTTGAGAAAAAAAATGAAATTATCTGTTTATATTAGTTTTTTGGTTACCCTTCTGTAAAACCATAGCTAGTCTTGGCATACAGTAACAGAGCTACTAAGTGTACTTGTTAAGAATGATGCATTGAACTAAAAGCTCTTGAACAAAGTAAGAGTATCTTTGGCGTTACCTGTCGCAGTAACTCCTCCTGGCGCATCCGGATCCGCTCCCTCTCCATCTGGATTCTCTGGAGCCGCAGTTTCTGCTGCTGCTGCGAGGCCAGCGTGCCGGGCAGGGTGAGCAGGGCCGGGGGGCGGCCGGGGGGCGGCAGGGCTGCGCCGGGGGGCAGCGGCGGCGGCGAGCTCAGCACTGCAATGACAGAGCCCGTGGGGCGGCTGCAAGCACTGACAGAGCCCGTGGCACCGACAGGAGCCCGTGGCACCGACAGAGCCCGTGGGGCGGCTGCAAGCACTGACAGAGCCCGTGGCACCAACAGAGCCCGTGGGGCGGCTGCAAGCACCCACAGGAGCCCGTGGCACCGACAGAGCCCGTGGCACCAACAGAGCCCGTGGCACCGACAGAGCCCGTGGGGCGGCTGCAAGCACTGACAGAGCCCGTGGCACCAACAGAGCCCGTGGGGCGGCTGCAAGCACCCACAGGAGCCCGTGGCACCGACAGAGCCCGTGGGGCGGCTGCAAGCACTGACAGAGCCCGTGGCACCAACAGAGCCCGTGGCACCGACAGAGCCCGTGGGGCGGCTGCAAGCACTGACAGAGCCCGTGGCACCAACAGAGCCCGTGGGGCGGCTGCAAGCACCCACAGGAGCCCGTGGCACCGACAGAGCCCGTGGCACCAACAGAGCCCGTGGCACCAACAGAGCCCGTGGCACCGACAGAGCCCGTGGGGCGGCTGCAAGCACTGACAGAGCCCGTGGCACCGACAGAGCCCGTGGCACCGACAGAGCCCATGGCACCGGCTGCAAGCACCCACAGGAGCCCATGGCACCGACGGGAGCCCATGGCACCCACAGGAGCCCGTGGCACCGGCTGCAAGCACCCACAGGAGCCCGTGGCACCCACAGGAGCCCGTGGCACCGGCTGCAAGTGCTGACCTGCTGCACAGGGCCAGGACACACTGCTCTCTCACAGGAATGCATCCTTAGAATTGCTGCGCTTCAAATGACTGAGACAACTACTCCCCTGGCAAGATCTGCACTAGCAATTGCTTAATAAATGATTTTATATGTTCTGAGTTTATCAAACAGGAATACTTACAATATAATAATACCTATCCTGGTATGTTCAAATATTTACCTAATGAACTAGTAAACAACATTTTTTCAAACTGAAAAATCCTAAAAATGTGTGCCTATAATAGGCCATAAGCTAGTAAAAATATTTGAATTTAACATTGTCTTTATTGACAGATTTAAATCAATTATTACTGGAACTAATTTCCAATTAACAACTGAAACCTTTTCTGCTAGAATATGACCCATCAGTACCCCACCTTTGGTAGGATATTCTAAAGGTTGACAAGGGAAGAACATCATAGATGGCAGGATTAGAAACAGGACCTTTAGTCTTTAGTAAGCAAACCTGAGTTATAGCCAGGTAAACCCCTTCACTTGCTGACAGAAGGCTGTTGCTGAACAAGTTAATACTGCTTAGATTGTTAGTATTTCTTAAGTCAGCATCATCTTTTCTGATCAAATTCAGAAACTATAAATCAGAGCAGAATTCTCTGTGAGATAGACATTTTTATTCACAGAACTGCTACGGAAGTCTGTGTAGCTACACTAAGTCTGTGTAGCTCTCTGTGTGTCACTCTGGTGCCAACATGTCACAAAGCTAACAGAATGCCCTGTCCCCTCAGACAGCAGGTATCCCTCCTAGCTTACCAAGAAAATTTCTTCCTGTTTATGGTGCTAAGAATAGCACCATAATCCAGCATTGAAATCCTCCAGACAAGCCAGGAGTGAAACACAGTGAATTTTCAACATTTTAACTCCATGGTTTGCTCAGGACCCAGGTGAGATTTACTACTGATGCAGATCAGGACTAGCTGCATGGACCAGGTGAGGATTAGTCCTGGGCTATCACAGGACCAGATGGATCTAAGGGCAGCTTTACTACCTGTAGGTGGTGCAAAGCCCACACTAATAAATCCTTCTGGACATTGTGGAAAGCATGCAGGCAGACCTAAACCATCTTTGCAACCCGCTTCCAGAAGCAGGTGTCCTGGAGAGGACTGCACACTCCAGTGTGCCGTCCCACGGGAGGTTTAGATTGGAGATTAGGAAAAATTTCTTTGCCAAAAGGTTTGTCCAGCTCCAGCACAGGCTGATCAGGACAGTGATCCATCCCTTGAGAAATTTAAAAGCTGTGTGGCTGTAGCATTTGGGTCAGTGGTGGCCTTGGTAGTGCTGGGTCAATGGTCAGACTCAATTACCTCTGAGGGCTTTCCCAAACCAAATGATTAGTTGATTCCAATTCTATCAGATCTGGGCTAGATCTTAATGCAATTTCATATGCAACACTATAGGTAATGTCAGGTAGATTTTGTCCTGCAACCCGACCTACCTGGGCAAGCCCCAGTACCCAGGCAGAGCACCAGACTCTTCTAAAGAAGCGTGGCAAAGTGTGATGACACAGTTATTACAGGACTAAGACTTCTTACTGCTTTACCAATTTTCACGGTGTCAGTTTTTCAAACAACAAGAAAAAAAACTGACTAAACGAAATTGCTTTTCTTAACGGTAGAGTTGCAATGATATGCATAGGAAAATGGAAAAATATTTTATCTGGAACACTTTTAAGCATGTTTGATAGGTTTCATACTGTCTAGACTTCAAACTAATAGTGCATCTTTAAATACACTGGTAGAATAAAAAGAATCACAACAATGGACAAATTACCCTTGTGGTATATAATTGAGCTTGGTTTGTGAAAAATATTTTACCTAAGCGCTTCTCCTAGGACTGCTCAACTGAACCAGAACTGAACCCAGGCAGCAAAAGTGGGTTGGTATACAGCTGGTAACTTCTTGTCACTAATGGTCTGAACAAGGCCAGTGAAAGGAAAGTCTCGGGTCAGCCCTAGTGAGCAACTTAACAAACAACGACATTCTACAAATCTCTGCTCCGTGTGATATAATCATATAGCACATCTGTTGTGATATTTATGAGGTTTTAGTAATTCCTGCTTTAATTTGTATTTCAGCTCTGAATTTGTATTTGAATGGTCTGAGGATCATAATGCAGTTTGGATTAAAAAAGAAAAACCTGCAGTTCCCATGCCAGCTGCACTGCCCGGCACAGACCCCGCTGTGGCCCCCCCAGACACACCAGGGACCCCCAGAGCCCTGCGGAGCCCCTGGACCATCGGCTGGTCTGGAGAGGGTAAAAAGTTACCAAATAAAAAACAACTGGTGTTCAGTAAGCTCCAATTCACTGGGCAGGGTCTGGGACTCCAATGTAACATCTCTAAAGTTCTGCAAAGGAAAAAATATCCAAAAGCTCAAATTTACCACTCTGTGGTAATGGAGACTGGGTCTAAAATGAGAGGAGAAAAGTATCACCACTACAGCAGACAGACTCAGGGTGGCCTTAAATTCAGTTCTCTTGGGGAAAACCTAATTATTTTGCAAAATTAAGTAAGTCTTTCAATAAACAGCCATTATGCAATTATCCAGCCCAAATGAAAGCAAGTAAAAACATGGAGCTAAGTTCCAAACCTGAACTATGCAACCACAGTTCCATTGCAGTTCATGAAATTGCAATTATTTTGTTTACATCAAGTTAGACCTATGTGGTTTTCTTTTTCCAGTTAGAAGAAAAATAAAAGAATACTTTTATTGCTTTTGTTTGCCTTTAATAGTGATATCCTAGTGAATTAGGTTTTCTGACATCGTAGGAGACCTTTCTGTGGATGACTTTACTGGATATATACTAGGCAAGGATTATTTTGTGGGCAGAGACATGCAAGTTGCAGAAGCCAAAACATGCAAATGTCAATCATTTTTGACATATGCATTGAACTGATTGCACCTACTTTTATTATTAACATAATGACATTTTTATTATTAACATAATGACATTTTTATTATTTAAGTCAGAAGTGCAACTGTGGGTCTTTCTGCTCTGTTCATAGGCAGCCCAGACCCAAATTCAGATGAACTAGCCAAAGCCAGGTCTCATGCAACACAGTCTGATGAAAAACAAATGTCTACAAAGGTTAAAAAAAACCCCCAAAAACTGAAAAACCAGCCATACTACAGTTCTGAGTTAGTTGTGACGCTGTAAAGAAAAAAAGACTGGGCTCCCCTCCTTTTCTCACTCCACTTCAGCCAACAAAGAACTGCTTGTTTCATTTATTTCCCAGAAAGAAGCATTAGCCTTCTAACAAGGTCAGCAAAAAATGCTGCTTTTCATTTCTGGTGCATTTTGTTCCAAAAATCTGTAAAGTATTAAAGCAAAAAGTTGCACTATCCCAGTGCACAGAAACTCCTTTATTCAGACTTCTGAGCTGAAAATAGCTATATAGAAATTTCTCATAGTTTTCAACTGTTAAGGCCTGTGACATCCACATTTAACTAATCTTTCCCATCTTCAATGATTTAAGATTTAAAAAATCAATACAAACAACGTGCAGGTGCAACATCAAAGCTATGATTTAGCAGGAAGTTATTTAAAAGATTGGAGATTTACTCTGCAAGCACTTTTAACAATGAATCACTAACAAAAAGCGATGATGGGAGCTGCTTGAGTGGACAGACAGCTTTAATGCTAATGATTAATTACTGATGACTGTTAGATTTAATATTTAATAAATTATTTTTACTTTTGCTTCATGCAGTCTTCAGCTTTTACATTTCATTTCCTTTGAAACTATGGAAATGACCCTCCACTCTTGCACTGGTACTTGTTTGGATTACTACCCTTGAGGGGAAATGCTTACAGCAACAGGAGCTTCTTTGTGTCAAAATTAAAAATTACTAGAATTTCAAAAAATGCCAATCTCTCACTTGAACACATCAACCTTTAGCATTTCAGATTTACTAGATGGTCAGTTGCTGGTTTAAAGGTTTGATTTAATTTACCTGATTTACTTTGATTTAATTTACCTGATACTGAAGTTACTTCCTATTAGACTCTGGACCTCTTAACCACTGTCCTTAAACATAAATAAACTACTCCATTTGAGATCTGAGAAATCACTTGTTAGAGATTTTAATTGCAAACTACCAAAATCGCCTCATTCTTTTGAGAGCTGCATCACAAAACACTCATTCCCACAGATGAACGTGCAAGTCCTCTATAATACTTTCAGGTCTCAGAAAGTAATCATCAGAAGCAGGTGCCAAGATCA